GGCGTCGGCATCCAGGTGTACGCACCTTTACCACGACGAGAATCGCCTTGACCGCTAGTCCGTGGCGCGCGCCGATCTCAGTCGCGTTCGCGCTGCCTCCCCTCCCTGCTTTTATTTCCTCCCTACTTACACCGGCGGCAGAACGCTCGTCGTCATCAGCGCAAACGCTCGTCATGCCCTCCTTCCTCAAAGCCCGAGATTCTGCCCACACGTGGCGGCAGGAACGCGCTGCGAGGTCACACCCTCATCACGATACATCCAGCCGCGGCGCGGTGTCCGAGCCGCAGCCAAGTGTACTTGGGGGCTGCCCGAGGTCGATTGGATCGCTAGGAGTATAAGCGCCTCGCCGTGGCAGTGGACGCGGACATGAGCAGAAACCGGAGGGACGGTACGGAGGGTCAGACAGAAGGCGAGTCTCCAGTATCAACAACGCCTGCGCGCAAGCACCAAGGAGCACAGCGGAGTTGATCGGGAATTGCCGTGTTCCATCCGATCATCAAAGCTATTTTCAACCGGCCCGAGTGCCTCGATACACCCATCGTTTTCGAGAGAATTCAGGTTGTGCAAGAAGTGTTTAAATTTAACAAGACAGACCTCCGCTCCGCTCCGGCAATGTGAAAAAAAGGGAAGATGAATTTCTCAACGTGGGTCAAACAGATGGAATTAGAACAGTGTAAGGGAACACGGGGAAGATTATTCGTTCTTTAACGAGATGGTAGAAATGCTGTGCAATATCCCCGGATAATCTTACTCCTTTGGTCTTGCTCTTATTTTCCTCCACGCTCAGCTCCAAACGCTTTCTGAACGGCTTGGTCTCACGGTGGCCGAGCTCCATCATCAGCTACGCTTTACCGTAAGTTCCGTCCGGCGATCTACCTCTACCGTTTCTTTTGAGATTTTGTGCCCAATTCGTTTGGGAGTGTTTAGATTTATCCCCTTGAAGCCTCCCCCATCTCGCTCTCTACGCTCTGGTGCTCGAGATTTTACAGCCTCCTTTTGATCAATACAGCTCCTAATTTAAATCGCTCGCACGGTGCCCGCAGAATCCGTTCTTTCCGACCATCAGAGATCGAAATCCGGACGGCTTGGGTAGGGCTGGGCGCCGTACCGTTACGGTATACGGCCGTATACTTTACGGGTTTTTACGGGTACGGCGATGCCGTACCGTACCGTAAAATGTTTCGCCCAGGGCCCCACGGTACGGGTACGGGCGCCGTTACGGCCGTATACGGGGTTTACGGCCGTAAATTGTTTCCCACACAGCTTCAGCCATGTCGTCGCCGGAATGATCTCCTATAAGCTCTCGAAAATCGATCATTGTTTCCTGTGGCATAAAATGAGTAACATAATTAAACATGAAGGTGAGCTGTGCACTGAGCTTTCCACTGTTAGTAACATAGTGTGCAACAATAGCAAGGAAGGCGTAGCCGCTGCTCGACGTCCATCATGCATCAAGTGATATTGAGACCTTTGAATTGGCAATAAAGTGGCGGCGGTACTACTACCAGATTGACTGAGCTTTCTCAACCTCTTGAGATACACCACTTCTTCATTTTTTCCATAGAGCCGTGCACCGCTAGCGAAAGCAATTTCTTCATCTGTCGGCTCTGTCCTGGCCTTCTGTGAGCTTGGACCGTTCCAATAAGATTTGAAACAGGTGGTGTTGAGCAGGAAACGTCTTCAAGTGCGAAATGGGACCTAGAAGTCTGCAGGTTAGATTGGAACAGTAAAGGAGGCAAGAGCGGTGACACTTGATTTCATAGCAGAGCGAGAAGGTACAGTTTTACTGGGAAGTGAATCGGCGATCTAAATGAACAAAAAATTCAAAAAACCGACCTCCCAGCAGTATGGTGAAGTGCGTACCTCGACATTGATGCCGCGTAAATTTGATTGCCGTTACGGCTTTTACAGCCGTAACGGTACGGCCATTTACGGGTACGGCTCACCCGTACCCGTACCGTAAAATCCACCCTGCAGGCCCTGACGGTACGGTTACGGGTGCCGTATATACAGGTCTATACGGCCGTAATTACGGTAACGGCGTCCAGCTTGGGATGACGAACGTGTGCCGCGGACTGTCATCCTGAAATGTTGAATGGCAGGCTGTGCGTTTTTAATCCCAATTTGGTTCCCTCTGCGTGGCAAGGACATCTCGTGCCCACACAGCTTTCAACTGCTGTTGAGAATAGCCAATTTGGTACGTCTGTCCATATTTCGCCGCCGCACGGCACGGTGACCGCATACGCTTGCCTTCTGGTATAAAGCCTACGCATTTATGAGTAATCGTCTGTCAAAATCCTCCTATTCATCATGTTCCCCTCTATAGGTTTTCTCAGTCCCTGATGTTCAGTGTTTAATTGTTCCGCACCTGCCGCCGAAGCAACACCGACTTCTCAGTAACATTCGGGGGGTCGCTTCTCGAGTTCTAGTAGCTATTCCCTCTGAGTTGGCTCAAAGAGTCGTATCCTTACTTTCAGACCGTCTAGCTGTCTGTGAATCTGGCATATTTTCCTCTTCAGGGACGATTGGTCCCGCAACTCCTACATGCCTATTTCCAATGTGAGCAATGCCCCGCTACGCAGTTCTTTTCTTTTCTTCTTGAAAATGTGCATTTCCTATCGCCGCACGCCCACGTTCTCATTAACATCCCGCCCCTGGCACTGCACGGAAATTTGGTATTCTGTTTTATTGCGTTCCCATGAGCTGCCCAACGCATTTAAGGTATGCTTTGGCTCGTCCCTACCTCTTCTTAAGCATCGCTCACTTCTCCTTTGACCTCACACGTCGCGAACCTTCATGTTCAATTTTTGGCCTCCTGCGAGCGGCCGTCGCATTCGCGGTTCGCGTTCCCGCAACCGGGATACCGGTTTGCTATCCAGTGGCGGGGTTTAATGCAGCACCAGCCTTAATACGTCGGCATTGACCTCGAGGATCAATCGAACTCCCTGCCGTCCAGCATGGACTGCAAGGACGAACAAGGTGTGTTGTCGGTGGGTTACCTGATATGCTTTATTCTGCAACACAGATACTAACCTATCCTCGCAGTCCCCACGCCTTGACGCCCCACGGCATGCCCGCTACACCAACACCACATTTTCATTCTCGAGTTTTGAACACCCGGTGAGGCCAGTTTGACGGTAGTTGCATGTGGGCTCGCGCTTTACACGAACATAAGAACTAATGCATAGTGTTGTAACAGGTCACCCAATTAAAGCTGCTGTCTGGTAAGTTGTATGTATTCTCGCATTTCGAGTTCACACACTTTCCATTCATTTTTAATTCTGTTGTTCTCTGGCCGCTATTCGTTCACAGATGGGTGTCGAGCAATTATTCTTCATTCATCTTTAATCTAATTTGCAGTGAGTTGTTTAGCTTGGAATGAGTTCTCGCATTGAACTGTGACCTGATATATGATATCGATACATGTGTACCTGCACACCTCGCATCAATGGAGTGACTTTGCGAATACCCTCTCACTATACTTTATTTCTACCAAGATGTAGAATATAGAGTTCGATTCTCTGGCTCGAACAGAGTGAGCCGTCGTTTGTTACGGAGTTGGTAAGCATGAGACAGTCGGTCTTTACCCGTTTGACTACAGTATATATATGCCTTGAAAACATTTGTCCTTCGGGTAACTGGTTGCCTTGTGACATGCCGCAGAGTCTATACCTATGCCGGAGCGAAGCGAAGGCATGTCTTGTAAGGCAAGTGAGAAACGTTGCGGAAAAATGCGCGGGAATCGGAAAGACGAGTTGGGTCAGTGGAAGAACAGAATCTGGCAAAGGACATGTAGACGATGATAATTTACTGAGAAAAGGCATGGAGGAATGAGTTTCCGAATGGCACGAAATCGATGGCCAGTGCAAATATTGAAATAACTGATTGAACCCCGAGGCTAGTGGAGGTTGCACAGAGGGATAAAGCATCACGAGCCAGCCCAAACCCGGGAGAATTTTGAATAACAAAACCCAGAGAGAGAGCCATGCATAGAAGAATTGAAATCCAGTCAGCAAGGAGCACGCCAGCAGTAGATGAGCATTAAAGTCTGAGGAGTGCAAGATCGAGCAAATTGGAAGATCGTAAAGAATGATTGGAAGCGGGGATAGAAATTGTTTGGAAGGCAAGAGATAAGCTGCTTATTTATCTATGCCTCGGTGACGCGGCCGCAGTGAGAAAATGCGGAGGCGCAATGAGAAATCAACCGCGGCACGGCCGGAAATTAGCTGCGGGAAGCTGCGTGCCTCTGCGGATTGCAAGAAGGGAGGTCAGCTGAGCAACTTCAATTGAAAAACCCCCGGAATCTGTTCGGTCCACAAAAGGGAGAAGGAGAAGCGCCCTTCAGACCAAACGCAGAGGAAAGCCTAAAAGGTACAGAGATGAATGGGGTAATTGCACTGGCGGACAAAGATTTCGTTAACGAGCGGGTGACAGCAGGAGCCAGAGCGAAGACCAGTAAATTAGAATCTGACCTCGCTGTGCCGCAGGACGCAGTAATGGTCGCAGTGAAGCTACACCAACAAAGAACAGTACAGCTTGAAGTCAAGATCCGAAGAAGCGTGGTGCGTAGGGCCCGCGCGATCCCTCAGATTGCTGCCGTCAAGCAGAAAGGACATATGGGGCATACAAAATGAAGAGGCAGTGTGGACCAGCGCAGGGATTCGAGCATGGATGCCAGATGGGGTTAAAAACAGAGTGCGAGCAGATGAAGACGAAAGGAGTATGGACATATGGAGAAATGGCACAGCCGAGGAGCCATTTCGTTAAAGAACGGTTAATCATCATGGTTCTTTTCCTTTTGGGCACGGTGGGCTCAACGCTTCTCCTCTCCTATTCTCTCCGCCGCCGGAAAAAAAAGACACATCATCATAAGTACATCACCCAGGCCCGATTCGAACGAGCAACCCGCCACTGGGTCTTACTTTCAGAGCCGCAAATGCGGCTCCGAGTGTTGTTTTTTCTTGGAAAGCTAAAGTAAAAAGGTCAACCTTACTATGACATGACCCAGGCTCGATTCGAACGAGCAACACCTGCATAATGTACTCGAAGAAATAAATGTGCATACTGAGCAGGCACGGTCCATCCGCCACTGGGTCTTACTTTCACGGCTGGAAAGATGGTGAGGATGGTGCCCATTTCTTCCACTAGGGAAAAAAAGGTTAACCACCGACCTCCATGATCCAGGCTTGCCGGACGAGCAACTCCTAGACCTGCATGATTTTACAGGAATACACGGATGTGCCACTAGGTCGCACTTCCTTGCGACAAACGTGGCAGGGATATGTAGTGTTCATTTCTTTCAAAAAGCCAGAGAAAAAATCATTTCCCTCGGAATACGACCCAGGCTCGATTCGAACGAGCAACACCTGCATAACGCAACTGTTCGAGGAGATAGCCGTATGTTGAGCAGGCACGGACCATCCGCCACTGGGTCTTACTTTCAGAGCTACAAATGTGGTAGGGCTAGTGCTGGTTTCTTTAACCAGAGAGAAAGGATACTAGTTGAACTCGATGATTATAACCAGCCTCGATTCGGACGAGCAACGCCTGCATAATTTTACCGGAATACACGGAGCCGGCAAGTACCACTAGGTACGACTGCCCTGGTCGCAAACGTGGTAGCGATATGTGGTGTTCATATCTTTCAAAAAGCCAGAGAAAAAATCATTCCCCTCAAAATACGACCCAGGCTCGATTCGAACGAGCAACGCCTGCATAATGGAGCTGTTTGAAGGACGACGTATGTTGAGCAGGCACGGACCATCCGCCACTGGGTCTTACTTTCACGGCCAGAAACGTGGTGAGGATGGTGTTCATTTCTTCCACTAGGGAAAAAAGGTTAACCCCCGACCTCCATGATCCAGGCTCGATTCGAACGAGCAACTCCTGCATAATGAACCCCGACGGTTTACGCATACTGAGCAGGCACGGACCATCCGCCACTGGGTCTTATTTTCAGAGCTACAAATGTGGCTCCGAGTGTTGTGCTTTCTGAGAAAGCTAAAATAAAAACCTAGATACTATCCTTCCATGACCCAGGCTCGATTCGAACGAGCAATGCCTGCATCGACAATTTACCAGAGCTATTGGCTATTGATTGCAGGTGCGTACCACCGCTACTGGGTCGTACTTCCTTGACCCCGACAAACGTGGTAGTGTATGTAGTGATCATTTTTTTCAGAAAGCTCAAATAAAAACCTCGACGCCGCCATTCAATCATGACCCCGGCCCGATTCGAACGAGCAATGCCTGCATCGACAACTTGCCAGAGCTGTTGAGCAGGTGCGGACCATCCACCACTGGGTTGTACTTCCTTGGCGACGAACGAGCGACTCCTGCATAATTTTACCGGAGCAGGTGTGCAGGTGTTTTTAATTTTACCCCGCTGTTCTTCCCTTTCACCTTGATCCTCGGCCATCGCCTGCTATTAGGGATGGACCCGTGCCCATCCCTGAGGACCTCCATCTTCTCCGCTAACTGCGACAAGAGGGGACCCAACGAGACATGATTCACATGAATAGATTGGGGACGGGCAGCGCGGGGCTCAGGAAGGTGGGGACGATAGCTCGTCCTCTGTCCCGTAAAGAAAAAAAGGTCGTGGGGGAGGAGGAAGAGAGAGGGCGCTTCTTTGGCGCGCGCCCGCCGCCCCAACGCCTCGGATTTTAATCTCCGCTGGGTAGCCGTCGGCGGGTGGCAGTGCCCTGCCCAAAAAGGTGATTAAAAATCAAGCACAGAGATTAATTTCCAAAGGGGTGCAGATGCTGAAAATAACGATAGAAGCCCTTGAGCTACTCCTCCTCCTCCTCCTCCTCCTCGGTGACATCTTGATCCTCACGGCGCCTCCAGCTCAGATCTTCCTCCTCCTCCTCTTCCTTAATAACCCCAACAGTGATCGAACGACAAATCTCTGATAACGATGAGTCAATTTAGCCGGAACATTTGACTGGGACATGGAATATGACCGACGAACCATGCGCCCACAACCACGGGAATGAGATCAGCTCTCGTCGCGTCACCTCTGAATATTCTCTATCATCAGTTCCATCGTCCGAGACAGCGGCAGAGCCCTGCCGACTGTGGTTCAACGAATCGACCCAGCGGGAGCGATGTTTTTCCACATGCGTGATCTGGTAGCACGCAATTCCCCAGTTTTCGAGGCCGGTGGGTGTCGGATTGGCCTTGACGAAGCGACGCCCCTCGCGACGGTACCGATAGGAAAGATCTTCCATTGCTTCCCGTACAGGCCCCTGGGCAGGAATTAAACCCAGTCGGGAGAATGGAATTGAGATTGTACTCGGTTCGCGTCGTCAGCGGCGCGCTGCCGCTTTCGATCACTCGTGATCGAGACCCCAGCAATAAGCTCTGCTTCGCAGAGAGAATATCTGTAACATAGTTGGCCGTAGAGGTTCACATAAGTTGCTGTGAGAAACTTACCGCCTCATGATGAGTTCCAGATCGACGTCGTACTAAAGAACGATTCGTATCAGCAAAGTAAGGGCAAGACAAAAAAGCCAAGCTGCAACATTTTGTTTCATCATCCCCGCCGCTTGCAGATACCTGAGGGAAACAATCTTGGACGTAATGCGCTTGTCGATGCAAATATTAAACGAGGGCTGATACTCCGGCGCTGGTTCTATGAGCCTATACATCTTCCCAAGGACATGAGGGCTTGGATAGCTGCGGTCTGGTTCGCGATCCATAAAGTCTGGGAAGCGCTCAGGGCGGAGGCTGAAAAGCGAATTAGCCTAAGAAAAGGTGGCAGGAAGCGACCAACCGCTGCGGGATGACGACTGTCACACCCGATTTGGCGAAATCCACCGCGTTGGAGTGGAGCTGGGCGAGTTCGAGGCAACTCGGATGATCAGGTCCGTGTTGGTCGACGAGAGCCAGGTGGGCGTTTGCTACCGCTCCTACGACATCTTTCTCAAAGAAGTCTGAGTGATCTGTCAGTAAAGAAGCATCTAAAACCTGGGAACGTACCAACTGCGAAATCACAAACGTCGTCTATCGTGATATTGTCCTTTGGTACAGGCCGAACCGGAGAATAATCCATGGGTTTATGCACCCGAGTAATTCTAAACACCTGGTCAGAATCATACAGTCACTTAGCATGATCGATCTTTGGACACACTGTAACCCCTTGTCGTAAAGAACAGTATAAAAGTCCCCTAGCAAGTCTCTTAGCTAGACCTTTCAGAACTGCGTGCGACATACCATCTAAGTCCCCTCCTGAAAAACACAATTTCAGGGTTTGAAAGACAACGAGGGAGAGTTAACCTACCACCCAATCTGCGGGAAAATCTGGGGACATCAATCTTACGGCCTGTCAGCGATGAGACCCACTCACCAAAGAAGGATCAAGTGAAGCCAATCGTCAGAAAAGATAGTGAAGGAGGTGACGACGGAATCGCACTTAGAAGGAAGATCTCTTGGGGAGTTCTTCGTGCTGAAAACAACCACGTTCACAAGGGAGAGTTCTTGAAAACCCTGGATGATCGATGGCCGTTACAAGACGCACGTCCCCAGGGTGGATTGACGGTGACCGGAATATCGTACACTGCGGACTATGAATTAAACGGCGGCAAGGAAAAATGGCCTTCGCACTTGTCCCGTTATAACCCGGCGGGAACTCGTTCCCGTGGGTGTGATCGCACAATATATCTGACCTTCTTCCAAAATGCTATAATTCGTCAGAAATTGACTTCGATTGGGAAAAAACAGCCCACTCATGTTCATCCGCGATACCTGGCGAGGGTGAGCAGGAAAAATCAGGGAGGAGAAGGCGTAGCTCACCCATCAGATACGCTCCATCGGGTACCAAGACGCGCTGACCACCCGTCAATACCAATTTTGAAAGTATTAGTTGAGTTTCTTTCACCGCCTTATACTTGAGATCACGGAGGAGCTGACATTTAATGCATTTGAGAACGTTCTGCAACAGTCGCTGATCCACCAGTCCCGCCTTGATCATCGTCGTCACCGGAATGAATGCTTTCTTGTAAACGTGCTTTGCTGGATGGCGGCTTGTATCGAGTGTCTGCAGCTCCAGCTCGAGATTTTCTACGTGGCGGATTTGCTGTTTGTACTTTGCGAGGAGTTCGAGCGTGTTCATTCCGAGTGCTTCCATGATACAGATGGCCTGGCGGTTGAGATGTGCAGGCGCAAAACGCGAGACCTTCATGACACCGAGGCCCCTGAGGGGTGACTGGAACTTTTCCATCGAGGGCCGAATGCAGACCTGATTACCTTCGAGGTCTGGATGCACCGAGAGGATGCCCTTGATCCTACACACGGGTCGACATCATGAAGTGTCAATGTAAATGAGAGCTTACCCGCCCATGCGAATTTGAACCGCCGACGGGAATTTCTGGTCGCTTCCTAGGGTCTCCGCGCACATTGTCGCCAGCTCTTGGCTGCAGTTCCCCACACCATCGGTATAGACACTGAGCAATGGGTTAACGAAGTGCGAGCGCGATCAGGAGCATACGTACTATTTATCATGTCGTATGTCATCTAGCCCTTCAATGTCGGTTTCTAGAAGGTCAACAACATGCTTAGTGGCACTGAAACATTGCCCCATGCGCGCCGCATATTTTGCCACTAAGGGGGATTTAGGACGCGATTATGTATAGCATACCATTAGCCACACACCGACATGTTCTTCTGAGAAATCCCCCATTTCCTCCCGTACACGGTCCGCCGTGAAGTCGCCTACTTCGCAGACCATCCAGCACGAGCGGTCCTTCAGTTGGGATTCGCCTGCGGCAAGGAATCTGTTTTGATCCCAAGTCAATGCAGTTCAACACAGTAGGAAAGGCGAGAGATAACAAACACGTAGTGCCTCCCAGCGATGTAGACGCCATTTCGCAGGACATTGCGAATGCGCGCAAGAATCCCGCCGTGCGGATCTACACGCTACCGGCGAACGTCAGACATGAAATAATGGAACTTACGCAGTGAACACCCACTACAGCTGTGGTAACCCGTCTATTTATCTCGAGGCGGCCGTCTTCATCCGAGAAGCCCACGCGGATAAAGCGTCCGGCGTTCATCTCTGCTGGCCACGCTCGCAACACCCGGTTACTGGTCTCGATCGCCTCAGGGAAGAGCAGCACACGCGTGGGCGTCACGACCGCACGGCGCATATAAACGCGGTCTGATGTCAGTGAGGGTTCCCGCGCACGGGAGCCCTGCATCTGGTGCACCAACTTGCGAATCTCCGCTTCCGCCAGAGTTCCAACGAGCGTACGACGCTCGACGCGAAAGAGGGCGCGCAGGACCGCGAGCCGGGTGCTTAACGACTCGGGCCAAAGTTTGTGGATGATATCCGAAACTGAGAAAAATGGTTTGCCTCGAAATCAAGGCTGCTAGCGCGAACTGACCTTCGATGGGAAGTACAAGCCCTTGAGAGACTAGACCAGCAACGAGATAACG